GAGAGAGAGAGAGAGAGAGAGAGAGAGAGAGAGAGAGAGAGAGAAAGAGCACAGGGGATCAGCCCCGACGGGCCGGGGCCGCAGAGCAAGCCGCAGCCCAGCATCCGCAGCAGATGAGCCAACAGAGCAGGGACACGGTGCCATCAGGCCCCACGAGACGGCAAAACAGAAGTCGGAACAGAAGAATCCGACAGGCGGGCCCCATGAGGACGAGAACTCGACCCAGGACAAGACCGAGAACGACCAGACCAGAGGAGGACAATTACCGGGTCTTGGTATCAACCAGCGGGACAGAGAAGTCTCGGAAGGGGCCTTATGCGCACTGCGACTGAGCCTCAAGGACCGGGAGAGGGGACAAGGAGGGCAAGGCTCAGGATCACCCCCCCTGCGCCCACCGAACCCACCGCGGCCCCCCAACCCATGGACGTCCTCCAGCAGGTGTGGACCCAGCACAGAGACCGCGACACCGGCCTCTCCCCCGTCGCTCCTCCCGACCAGGTCCTGGCGGCCTACCAGGTGGCTGGGTTGGATAACAGCACTATACTGGGCACGCTTCGGTCACTGCACGAGCAAGGCACCATCAGACTAGGGCCCGATCAGGCAGTCGACGACATTGCGGGAAGGCTGCGCATACAGGAAGCCGTCGAAAGAGACTTCACGCAGCAGGAAGGGAGGACAGCGCGAGGCGAACCCGCAGGAAGCAGCGGCGGGACGACCGAGCGCACCCCCCTCCACCTCGTGTCCCTCTTTGACGGATGGGGTATTGCCAGACTCGCGGTGGGCGACCTCGTCAGCAAGCTAGGATCCAGCCACAGTTTTCAGTCGACCTCCTTCGTGGAGCACAACAGGGAGGCTGCGGAAGCAGTGGCACGCAGATGGGCAGCCGCTCCCGACCCTCAAGATGGAGGCCCCCCACATAAACATATAGCGGAAGACGTATGGGACCTCTTCAGGCGCAGAGACCCCCACGACAACAGGACTCCTTGGGAGAAGCATCTCGACTCCCTGGAGCAGTGCAGCACCCTGCTGATAGTGGCAGGACCTCCCCGCAACAACCTATCGGCGGCTGGCCCGCACGCTGGCAGGGACGGCCTGGCAGGGGCCCAGTCATCCCACTTCTTTGCAGTCCCGACAGCCTGGTACCTAGCAAACAAGAGATGGCCAGACATCACCGTCCTTGTCCTCGTGGAAAACGCGGCTTCCATGCCCTTGGCCCACCGCAAGGCCATGGGCGCAGCCATGGGGGACCTCGACCCCGAATGGGCAGTTAAAATGAACGCGGGCGACCATGTAGCCAGCCCAAGGGAGAGACTCTGGATTGGCAACTTCCCACCCCCGGCTGACACCATAACATACACCCGCCTCCCCAGTCCCTGGGAGCCTACAGACCAGACGGAAGGATCCCGACTTGGACGCAGTCCAGGGCCGCCCCAGGCGACCCAGACGCCATCCTTCCGAGCAGCTACCAGACTCACCTCCTGTGCCTCTTATACAACGAGGACAGTGGATATAGGTGGTTCCTCCGAAATCCGACCGAATTGAAGCACGGAGCCAGGCAAATTCTCACCGAATGTGGAGCGGAACAGCGGTTCCCAGGATGTACCGAAGGCTTGAGCCTTGTCATGGCGGGAAGGGAAAGGGAGAGCCCCGCCACAGAAGACAAGGTCAGGGCCTGGGGAAGATGGTTAGTGAAGGAGGGCAGAGCACACGGGCTCAGACCCCCTGACGCCGATGAAAGGGCGAGGGCGGTAGGCCTTGCCGGCTACTACCGCGGGCTCAGAATAAACGACAGGGCGCTCTACGACGCCGTCGGCATACATTTTGATCCCCGGTGCCTGCAGCGCAGGGCTGTCTCCGTGCTGCGAGCCTGGAGCGCGGGGCGCACCGCGGACGTAGCCTGCGCCCTTGCCCCCGCAGGCAACCAGATAGCGCATGGATGGGCAGCGGCGCGAACGTGCGCAGGAAGGCAGTGCCTATGGGCACAGCTCAGAGGCCACCCCCTCCCAGGCGACCTCGCAGAGCAGCTCCTACGCGAAGAAGGACTCTTTCCCGGGCCGACGCGCCCCTAGACACCACCGAGGGCCCCAGCACTCTCCATCAGGCGCTGGGCCCCCCCCAGGCATCTTCTCGTGCCGGGGCCGCGCGCCAGGACCTGGCAACACGCTCGACGCGCGCTCAATACAGCTTTCGAAACCCACTGTCAACACAAGATCCGCGGATCAAGGGGCCGATGGTCTCTCTTACACGCCGACCCCTGGAGGCACCCCACTTGGGGCTCGATGTGCGGTAGCCTCACGCTGGGCGATGTTTCGCGCGCGCTCAGCGCCACCCCAGCGGGCAGTCTGCCCAGAATTGGCTGTTGGAACGTCAAATATCTTCGAAGCTGCACCGCGGCCAAGAATCAAATCAAACACGCCCTACTCACCCAAGTTACGACAAATAAACAGATCGGCCTGATCCAAGAGACGCACTTGTCCGAGCATGACAGCGCGCTGGGACTTCAGTGGGCGCGCTTGGGGCCTCTGCGGGCTAAGGCCTCTTCTGTGGGCGCGCTTGAGGCCTCTGTGGGCGTTGTCGGGGGGCCTCAGTGGGCAGCGCGCTGGGGCTTTGTGGGCGCGCTTGGGGCATCTGCGGGCTGCGTCGGTAGCCTCGGCAGGCAGCGCGGGGAGGACTCTGCGGGGTAAGTAAGGCCTCTGCGGGCGCGGTTGGGGCCTCAGTGGGCAGCGCCCAGAGGCTTCGGCGGGCGCGATCGGGGCCTCTGCGAGCCGGGGCCTCTGTGGGCTATGTTGGGGGGCCCCAGTGGGCAGCGCGCTGTGACCTCTGTGGGCGCGCTTGGGGCCTTTGTGGGCTAAAGCTTTTGTGGGCGCGCTTGGGGCCTCTGTGGGCTGCGTTGGAGGCTTGCCTCGTTGGGCAGCGCGCGGCGGCCTCCGCGGGCGCTCTCGGGGCCTCTGCGGGCTGGGCGCGCGAGGCCTCTGCGGGCATTGTCGCGGTGCCTCAGTAGGCAGCGCGCTGGAGATTCCGTGGGCGCGCTTAGGCCTGTGGGCTGGGGCTTAAGTGGGCAGCGCGCCGGCGCCTTTGTGGGCGCGCGCGGGGCCTCTGTGGGCGCGTTTGGGGCCTCTGGGCTGGGGCCTCTGTGGGCGCGCTGGGGCCTCTGCAGGCTATGCCAGAGGGCATCAGCGGGCAGCGCGCGGGGGCCTCGGCGCGCCCGGGGCCTCTGTAGGCAGGGGCCTCTGCGGGCGTGTGTTGTCCCTCTGCGGGAAGTCGGGGCTTCAGTGGGCAGGGCGCTGGGGCCTCCGCGGGGGCGCTCGGGGCTTCTGCGGGCCGCGTCGGGGGCTTCCGTGGGCAGCGCGCGGGTTCGTCTGTGGGCGCGCTTGGGGCCTCTGCGGGCCGGGCCCTCTGCGGGCGCGCTCGAGGCCTTGCCGGGGGGGTTCAGTGGGCAGCGCCGGGGGGTTTCTGCGGGCGCGCTCGGGGCCTCTGTGGGCTGGGGCCTGTGTGGGCTGTGTCGGGGCTCCTGTGGCACGGGTAGCCTCCGTGGGCAGCGCGCTGGGGCCTCCGCGGACGCGCTCGGGGCGGGGGCTTGGGCTTCTGTGGGCTGTGCCGGAGGGCCTCGTTGGACAGCGCGCCGGGGCCTACGTGGGCGCGCTTGGGGCTCTTGTGGGCAGGGGCCTCTGTGGGCTGCGTCGGGGGCTTCAGTGGGCAGCGCGCTGGGCCCTCTGTGGGCGCGCACGGGGCCTCTGCGGGCAGCGCGGGGGGGCCTCTGCGGGCGCGCTCGGCGCCTGCGCGCTGGAGGGCCGGCGGGCAGCATGGCGCGGCCCCCGCGGGCATTGGCTGGGCCTAAGTGGGTCGTGCGTCGGGGGCCTCGGCGGGCAGCGCGCCAGGACTTCTGTGGGCCAGGGCCTTTGCGAATAGATCTTGAGAAACTACCGAGCGGGGGCCCGCGTCGTCGCACGTGGGCCTCTGATTGAATCGTGAGGAAGTCTCGAGCGAGAGCGCCGTTCCTGAGTTCGGGCGCCTTCCTGGCCAGGGGCTCTCGGGGTAAATCGCGCGGAAGTATCGAGGAGGAGCCTTCGTCGTCGTGGCTGGGCCCCCGCCGACTTGATTGAATTGTGAGGAAGTCTCGAGCGACAGCGCCGTTCCTACGTTCGGAGGCTTCTCTGGCCAGGGCGGGCGTCTCGAAGGAAACTGCGAGGAATTCTCGAGCGAGGGCCGTTGTTGTCGTAGCTGAACCTCCAAGGGCGCACTTTTAGGGTCGAGCCAACGCTCGAGCGGGAGCGTCGCTTCCACGGAAAATGCCGCCGGCGTCGAGGCGAGAGCGCCCAGAACCGTTTCCGGAGACCAGCCATAATTATTCTTTAGGAGCGAGTATACAACAAGCAGAATCCTCACCGCGGATCCGCGCTTCAGCCACGCACCCAGGGACAATGAATGACCGTTCGCCCCCTCGCTCTGACTGGTGTATACAAACTGTGGCAAGTGTGCAATCAGTGGATACAGTGGATGCGTTGCATAGGGGTTCCCGCTCCGCTGCGCGACCTGCCTCTGGCAGCGCGTCATTTCCGGGCGTGGATTCCTCTCGCTTCGCGGGGTGCGCGTCCGGAGCGCGTGCGGTCTTGTCGTTGCGAGGCCAGGTGAAGGCTTTTTTGGAGCCTTCTGGAAGCCTCTGGAGAGCGTCTCGGGGCTTCCTGGGGGCCTTTTGGGTGCCTCTTGGAGGCGTCTTGGGCCGTCTCGGGGCTCTCTCGCGCCGCGTGGCTCCTTCGGAGGCCGTCCCGTGGAGCCTCTCGGGGTCTGTCTTGGGGGCGTCTTGGACCGGGCCTCCTTGGGCCGTTTTGGGGCCTTGTTGTGCCGTGTAGCGGCCATCGAGCAAGACCAGCCGCGCGGATCGCCATGCTCACAGCTGTTTTTTCCCTGGTCTACCGGGATCGGGGAAGTCCGAGGTCAACGGGTGGTTGCGCGACGAGCAATCGGGGCTGTTCGCCGCGCGCATGGGATGAGAACACGAGGTGCGCCTCATAAATACGGCCACTTCATGAAGACGGCCCCAGTGAGTTCCATGGCGAGCAACATCGGTGGGAGGACCATCCATAACTTCAGCATGCTCGGAATCTGCGTCACCGCGAGAGTCCAGTCTGGCGGAAAGAAGAACCTGGAGTTGTCAGCGAACTTGCTGCACGCGAAAATCCAAGGCGCTGGCTCATCAATGACGAGGTGGAGGACCTGTCGGTGGTCTGTTGGACGCCGCGCACTGGCAGGTGAAGGATTCGACGAGGGGCAGAGGGAACCCGCGGGCCGTGGACGCTTGCCCCGCACTTCGCCGACACGGCCCACTGCATCACTGGCGCCACGCTGTCGCAGGCCACCATCGACCTCCTGGGCGCGCGCGCGACGCCCCGTGCATCCACCCGCATCCCCCGCGGGCTACGCGGCAACCGGCCGCGCCAGGAAGGCCGGCGATCTGATCGCAACGCGGCGTTTTGTCCCATGCTGCTCCGTCAGGGGCATCGGACTGGCCCGCGGCCCCTGCGCCCCCTCGCAGCGGGGGAGACGGCGACGGGACATGCGAAAGCCGGCCGGGCCAAAGCAAGAAAGGATGCGGCCCCCAGGTCCCAGGTCGTCGAAGAAGCTGGTGGACGCCACGTTCCAGCGCGGCGACTGCCACCGGCGCGAGAGAGCGGGGGGCTTTCTTGGCAGTGGCACGAGGGCGAGCGATCCCGCGGAGCAAGCCACGGCGGCGCAGGGCGCCTGGAGGACGCGCGCCCGCTGCGCGCAGGAGCGGCCCGCCGCTCCCCCCGCGGGCGCCCCGCCCGCCCCATCCGCGCCCTCCGCCTCGAAGGGGGCGGGCGCCCTCGACCGCCGCCGGCGCGGGCGGCAGAAACCGTCGGCGCATTCCAGGCCCGGAGAGGCGGGCGCCTTGAAGGCGCGGGGGGGCCAGGGTCGCGCCCCAGAGCGGCCCCATTTCAATGGTTTGCAGCGTTTGCATCGACATGGCCAGGGTCGCGCCCCGCAGCGGCTTGAAGGACATGGTTTGCAGCGCGTGCATCGACCAGGAGATGGCGCCCCTCTGCGACGGAGGACGCAGAAGGAGGCCTGCCGTTCGCTCGAAGAACGGGCGGTCGAATGACTGCGACGCCTGCGCGTTCCCGAATTGCTCGGCAGGCGGCGAGAGGCCGCGAAAGCTGGACAAATGCGCAGTCAAATGGACGCCGCAATGAAGTCGCGCAGGCTGCCGCCACAGTTCAACGCCGGGGCGCAGGAATTGCGAGGCCGCTGTTCTTCGCGACGCCCTCGACGTGTCATGGCGCGGCAAAGCAGGCGCCCTCGGTTCGACGTGTCGGGGCAAGCAGTTATGGCTTCTGCATGTCCCCGCCCACCGCGATTTTTTCGCGTCTCGCCTGGGTTCCCGAGCCCCCGCCGGCCTCGGCGCCATTCGCGATTGCATTCCCTGGAGTGCCCCCGCAGCTGATGTTTCGCCGCGCCGGGAATGGAGCTTGCACCGTTTGCATGGGCCGCGTCGAGCGCGGGTCTGTCGTCGCGGCCACGCATCGCGCTCTTGCTCGGAAGCGAGCTGGACAGGAAGACGGCGCCATGTTCTGTCGCGTGCCATTTGGGCCTCTGGCGCGCGCGGAGATTGCAATCGACGCGCGCAGCGCGCAAATGGAAAACACATACAGACCAGTCGTTGCGGGTGCTCCGGGGGTCCTGTGGGGGGTTTCTGTGGGCCCCCCCAGGGCTTTCGCGGGTCTTTTTGGAGGCTTCCTGGGTTTCGGGGCCCCGCTGGCACGCGCCGGTCCGTCTGGGGGCGCTCGCGCGCTGCGCGGCCCCGTCAGAGGCGGAAGACAACGCCGCGTTCAAACGCCGATGGGCATAGCAACAACGTGCCATTCATATACAAATTCCGTTGGCCTTTTGGTGGTCGATTGGGACCTCTTGCGGCCTCCTGGGGGCCCCAAGGAGGCCTCTTGGGGCCTCCTGCCTCCTGGAGCCCCTTGGGGGCCTCCTGGGGCGTCTCTTGCCGACTTGGGGTGCTTGTGCGCCGTTTCGCCGTCTTGGGGTGCTTTTGTTTTTTTCGCCGTCTTGGGTTCGGGGCTCTCTTGCGCCGCGTGGCCCCAGCGGAGGCAGTCCAGTTGGCCACTCGCGGCCGCTTCGGGGCCCTCTTGGGTTCCTTGTGCGCGGTTTTCGGTGCGTTTTGGACCTTTTTGGGGCATGTGTGGGCCGTTTCGTGTCGTCATGAGGCCCTATCGTGGGCTTTTCGGCCCGTCTCGGGGCAATTTTGGAGGCTGCTTGGGCCGTCATGTGCCCCTGAGAGCCGAGCAGGGCGAAAACGCTGGAATCTTCAAAAATTTACGGAAAACCAGTAAGTCTGGCATCTGGAAGCGCTCTGGGGGCTCCTTTTGGGGCCCTCTGAGGCCTTCCTGGAACTTTTCCCGTCCCTCTTGGGGCCATCTTGGACCGTTTCGGGATCGCCCTGGCCCGTCTCGAGCGACGCATCCTTGGACCCCCGAGAGGCCCAAGGGACCCATATCATATACGTACCATAGTTGGGTCGGTTTGTGGGCCCAGATGGCGGCCACCACGATTTGTCGACTGATGGCGCGTGGTGTTTGGGGTGGGGTGTGGGGGAGGAGTCATGATGGATGTAACACAATACAATATGTGGCAAATCTGCAATCATTGGATACATGGGATACGCTGCATTCGGGCATCCGTTCCGCTGCGCGACCTGCCTCCGACAACGCGTCTATCCGGGGCGCTAGTTCCTCTCGCTTCGCGGGGTGCACGTTCAGAGCACGTGCAGTCCAGTCGTTGCGGGGCGTGGCGGGGGCCTTTTTGGGGCCTCTTGGGAGCTTCCCGAGAGCGCGCGGGGGCCTCCAGTGGATTTGGTCGGGGCCTGTCGGGGGCGTTTTGGGCCGAGAACGCAGTCGATGTGCACACTGCGCAAGTAGAGAGCGCGCGCAACCCAGTCGTTGCGGGGACTCTGGGGCGGCCTGCGGAGGGCCTTTTGGGAGGCTTCCCCATGGCCTCTTGGGATCCCTTTGGGCCGCGAGGCCCCCTTCTGGCGCGTCGCGGGCAGTTTTGGGGCGTGCGGTGCGAGGCCCCTTTCAGCGGCACAAGGCAACGCCAAGTTCCGATTCCGATGGGCATAGCAACAACGTGCCATTCGTATACAAGTTCCGCCGGCCTTTTGCTGGTATTTAGGGGCCTCTTGCAGGCCTCTTAGAGGCCTCCTGGGGGCCTCTAGGAGGCCTCTTGGGGGGGTCCTGAGGCCCTCTTGGAAGCCTCTCGGGGCGTCTCGCAGTGTCTTGGGGCATTTTCGCCCGCCGTGTCGCCCCTTCGGAGGCCGTGCAGTGGGCCTCTCGCGGCCGCCTCGATGCCACATCCAGTCCACAGCGACATGGGGGAGCGGGGGAGGGGTAAACCCTTTCCTTTTCAAAGCCTCTTGCGGCAGTCTTCCAGGCCTCTTGGGCCTTCTTGGTTGCGTGGTGGCCTTCCAACGGGAATCCCAGCGCGTGCAAGAGTGGCCACGACCAGAATGACACTCCCCCACAAGTTTATGTTTGACGCCCCAGGTCCCCGAGCAGGAAAAACAAAAATGGAGACACGATTCGATTGGTAAGAAAGCATTGCGCTACCGAGGAACCCCACATACTTATATTCGAATTCTTACGCAACTACTTAGCATGCACTTCGCATCCTGACTTCTGCACGTACTAGTACAATGCGTACGCCAGACGACCGTCACGGATAACGGCCGCGCTTAGAGACCACCCCGTGCGCACCCCTTATGGAATCGAGAATTTGCCACGCTTGCTTTGCCATGGACGACAGTCACGGAGAGCGGCCGGTCTCAGAGATCACTTCGTCCGCACCCGTCATGGTGTGGAACATGTCCCACGCCTGCCATGCCTTGGACGACCGTCAAGGAGATCGCCCGCGCTCAGAGACCACCCGTGCGCACGCCGCCATGGTGTGGAGAAGTTGCCACGCCTGCTTTGCTTTGGACGACCGTCATGGATAGCGGCCGCGCTCAAAGACCACCCCGTGTGCACCCCTTTTATGGTGTTGAGAATATGCCACGCCTGTCATGCCCTGGACGACCGTCACGGATAGCGACCGCGCTCAGAGATTTTCTTGTGCGCACTCCCGCCATGGTGTGGAGAGCATGCCATGCCTGCTATGCCCTGGACGACGGTCACGGATAGCGGCCGCGCGCAGAGACCACCCTTTGCGTACCCCACATGTTGTTGAGAATCTACCACGTTTGTTGTGCCCTGGACGACCGTCACGGATAGCGGCCGCCCTCAGGGACCAGCCCTTGCGCACCAATGAATTTGTTCAGGATATTCCACGCGTATTATGCCTTGGACGAGCGTCATGGATAGCGGCCTCCCTCAGAGATTTCTTTTGCGCACCTCCTATGGCGTGGAGAATATGCCACGCCTGCTATGCCTTGGACGACCGTCACGGATAGCGGCCGCGCTCAGAGAACATCCGTGTGCACCCCGTGCGGCGTCGAATCTATGCCACGCGTTCTATGGCGTGGCCGAACACGGGTATGTATGATGTGTAGACCGCGCCAGCAGGTGTCATACCTTTCCTAATTGCGTGCGCTATGTGTACATGTGCGTCACTGCGTTTGCATCTGTATGACGGCGAGCAAAAATGAGGAGTGGGAGGTGTGTGTGTGAGAGAGAGAGACGCGGGTGCGACGCGGATGGGAAGAAAAAAGGACCCCCGCGAAGCATATGGGAAAACAAAGCACACCGCAATGAGCACAGGACCACAATCACGGTTGACTTACAGCCTTGCGTCCTCCAGGGTGCCGGATGAGTTTCGAAATTTTGCCAAAGCACTGATAGTTCGGTTGGAGGATTGCTTTACAAATTTTGAACAACTATTGTGTTCAGGGGGTATTTCTGAAGCCCTGTGACACATGCAGACGGTCGTCAGGGGGGGTTGGTTGTATATGGGTTGTTCAAGGACATATTTTTGAACAACCCCCCAGACACCTCCAGGACAGACTCCAAGCAGGGCGGAGCAAAAACAGAAAACGTGTAGTTCCCACCGCTGACATCCAGAGTGCAACTTGCGGCGCTTGCAAGGGCACGGCCCAACGTGAAATCAGCGTAGCGTCAACGAGGAGGGGGAACGGCGAGGCGGAGGTATTCTGGTGAATGGTGAATGCGCA